TGTACTAATTTTTTAATATGATGAGGTAATTTTTTGAAAGTTGATCTCATAAAGACTCGACGAGTAAGTATAATGTTATGGTTTATTACGATTGCCAAACTCTAAACAAATATTTTATTTACCAACGACTAGATAGTTTTATTTTAGTTTTGAGTATAACTAATTATATTCATAATTATTTTTCAATTACCGAGGTGATTGATGAATAATTATGTAGGTAAGCTTAATAAAATGACATTATAAACATATTTTTAAAATTGTTATTAATATATTGTAATAGCTGGTGTGATATTTTATCGTTGAATGGGTACGTTTTCTGCAGGCCATTAATCCTATTCGGTATACGTTCAGCAGATTCTGTTGGGCTAAACATTTATTTATGATGTGCTATACACTGGTGCAGTGATAGGTTATAGAAAATAGAATTATTAATCACTCGAAACAAATAAATCTATTTATCATGGTTGCATCTTTATTGCACGGAGGTTTACATGAACATGGCATTCATTTAGGATTTATTAGTATCTACCTACGTTCTAAGTCGTATGTTGAAAGGATAACATTATAACAATGTACGTAATAAAGTTTGTTATCTCTGATATGTATACGGTGCAACATGGTAAAAACACATTAATGTAGCGGTCGTTCGTGAATGGTTCGGTTGAATAATATTAACTTAGAGCCGTAACATCTTATCATAACTGAAAACGAAAAGAAAATGTATCGTGTTCGCACAATTTTACTTAGGTACCTACTACAATGGCTGGTATTATTTCATTTTTAAAATATAATTTTTATTACAATGATAAATCACTTTTGACTCTCGACATTATTTTGGATTAAAATTATATTTATCGACATTATGATGTGCCCTCGGAAGTTGGTTTCTTATTTACTCGTGTAACAGATGTTTCTATTCTAAAAACCACTGTCTTAATAACAATTTATTTGTGATCCAGTTACCGTTCTGCGTGAATGAACTCCTGCTTTGTTGACAGTGTGGCGTGATAAACCAAGATGAGTTTGTTATCTTGGTGTGCCACTTTTTCCAAAATGTCATATATTATAAGACTACACAGTCATACTATTTACTTACATCATAATAATCTTATTTAACGTAAAAATTAATTAGGTTTAATAAATTAACTACTAATTTAATATTGACACATTATTTGAAAATTAATTAAACTTTCATAATATTATAATTGTTAAATTTCTTTGACGTTTGGGTTTGAATACCTATTATATAATTAATATAATTTACATAATATTTTCCGTAAATACAATATGAGTAAATTATATATAAATCACCGAGACTATAGTTTTCATTGTCAAAATCTTCAAGGATTTTTTTATATTTATGCATTATTTTTAATGAATCAAACAGCTATTGGGTTGGGTCTGTATTGGTCATTATTTATTTTTAATAGAATTTAAAAACGAATGTTTTATAATGATAAATTATAGACATTGGTAATTATAATTATCATGTTGCCGATATAGTTCACAAGTACCTAATATAATATAGTAAAGCGATTTTATCTAAAGGCGATAAACGTAAAATATATAATAAATATTATATTGATATCGATATAATTTTATTTATTTGAAGCTCGGGGCAAACACAATATGCTGTCCTTATATAATACATTTTGACAGTCAAAAGTGGGTTGGACTTAAATGACGTAATCTTGGAGATATTAGTGTCTGATAACCAAACTATTATGACTATTGATAAGCATCGAACTTAATATTACAAAAAAAAATTCGAAATTAACAGAAGTCGATTATGAATAATAATATTGTGAAACCAATACTATGGCGCAATCTACTTAAAAATATGAGTCCTGTATACGAGAGATAATATATACGCAACAACTTTTATAAATTGTAAGGAAGAACTGTTTTTTATACCTTGTATAAGCTGCAGTACTTTCAAGTCACATTGATTGTTTTGATTGGTCTTAATTGTTTTGCGTAAAATGGTATAAGAAAATGAAAACGATCGTGGGGCACCTAATTTAATTTTAAATTGACAATTAATATAAATGCAATTCAATTTCTACAAACAAAATATTATTTCTGCTTTGCTCTACCTACACTGCCATTAGCAAAAAGTTGGTTTCGAAAATATTTGTAATTTTTCCTCAAAGCTTGAATATTGACAATATAGATAAAATATTAATGCTAAGCGGGAAATCGGCATTTGGACCACAAAAGTGTGTATTAATGTATTTATACCTAATACTATTAACTATCACCAGAATTAGATTGATAGTACTGTAAACGGAGAGAATATTCAATACTTCATAATATATATTACACATTCTACCTTTTATTTTCCTGTTCATCCGACAACAGAGAAGGCTCTGTTTGAATAATACCACTCCTCTGCGGCCATCGTTTATTGATGTATACAAGTTGATTATACATTCTGCCTATAATTATATAGCTCTAAAGACTTAGACACATGTCCATTTGTTGGGACTGCTCAAAGTTCCGGAGGAATTCGTGACGTCGTAGTATCATACTGGTTCACGGCAGTTTCAATTTCCTGCTCAACTTCCCGAATAAACCGAGTTTCCTGTAAAGCATTAATTGGTTTATCAGTGCAGGCAGTTGATGGTTTTATCTAGTTAAAATTGTATTTTAAAAAATTTGTTTAATTGATTGTCGAGTAAAACTAAATTAATCTATGGTCCTTAATAATCTTAAAAATGTAATAATATTTAGGTACATTAAGATTTAATCCGACCAGCCACTGTGCCCACACTTAACTTTGCAAGTTTTTCGTTGAATCCAACAATTTATGATTTTTCTCTCTAGTGTAATATTATAATTGTTTAACAATATTTACCTGTTATCACTTCTGTGATTGGTTTTACTTGCATTTCAATGACAATAATTTACAACCATTACCACAAAATAATGAATATCATTTAAAGGTACTTTGTACATATTTATAAACCACGAGTACCTACTTATGCCTTCGTAGTATCAGTATTGCTAGTTATAACACAATATATCATATTATTTGAATATTATCATGTAGGTATATTTATACACACTAGGTAGTTTGTTTCTAACTATACTCAGTTTATTACTATTACATTTTAGTTCTATGTTATAATATTATATAATAATGCACCATGCACGCGCAATGCGAAACACATAAAATGTTTATTGCACTTATAGATTTGTTATGCTACAATAGCTGTCCATAAACACGAGTTACCTTGAAATAGTAATAAGTTTTGATTCGAATTTCAAATTTGGCTTCGATCTCCATTTCAATCGGTGGTTGTTTCGATTTAAGATTATCGAATTTCTATTTTCCGATCCCGCTTGAATAAACTCAACACGACCTTATCGAGATATTTAAAAATTGAATCATTCATTTATCATTAATGTTTATTATTATTTTCTAGCCACAAGTGGTTTTCACAGGACTAGGATTGTGGATTGAAATCATATTGTTTAAAAGTGGTACATCATACTCTAGAGAAAACAACAATAAATTATTATCTCCATTCATCATATAATTTTTTGTTTGAAGTTATTTTTTCATTTGTTGCCAAGATGCTTAATCCCAAATAAATTGAAGTTAGTAATAATTTTTGTTTTATTATTTCACTATCCTAATGTTTTCGTTTTATTTTTCATTTCAAGGAAAACGGATTAATTAAATTGTTTTTATTTTGTTATTAAAAATAAAAAAAAATAGCGCATAGAAATAATAAACTAATATTAGAAAACATGAAACTAAAATCAAACCACAACTACTATATTTATCAAGAAGATATTGCACTCATAATAATTTTAATTTGAAAACTGAAAAGTTTATTAAGTTTATTTCTATGTACCATAAATAGCTCATGATATTTACTAGTTTATTTGAAACCACTTGTTAATTTTTTTAGTTCATGTAAATAAATATATCGACTACCTATAATAGTAGTTAGTTATCAAAAAATAAATAAACAATGAACATTGAAGATGTTTTCCTATATTAACAATACAGACATCATTAAAAATTAAATATGTGGCTATCGCTATTGAAAGTGTACAAAGAAATCTAGATAGACGTATCGAATATAACGATTTAACATTTTGAGAAATATGTACTTAAATCACAAGACTCCAGTCATTAGTATAAACGATATATTAATTCGTAATTGAATGCAAGTAGTAATTAAGTGACTATATTTGATAGTCGATGATAATCTATATACTTAATGATACTATCCACAGTCATACCAATTTCAGATTAAAATAAAAACTTTATATTCAAAATCATTATATTGACTATCATTTTACTAATAAATTCTGTATAATGTTATTCGAAAACAGTTATAGTAGTTTAAAGTATATACTGATTGCTTTTAAGGAGTGTACATAAGTTTAAAAACTGAAAAAAGGGAACGTCTTCGCCGTGGCCGTTGAATGGTTTAAATATATTTCGTCGGATATCATCTTAAATCATGATAATTATAACTATTGGGGACCACAATCTTAAAAATATACTTTCAACTATATTATTGTAAGTACAATACGTCGATACAATGAATGTGATTGTTATGAAAACGTTATTGTTTATATAACATTATAATTCCCGTACGTTTCCACAAATCATAGTTTTAGTGTATTCCACCTACTCAATTTTCTGATTATATTGTTGATCTAAGAAGAACTAATACGCAACGGAAATATTGATACAAGCATTTAAAGCAAATATTATGTAAATTCAAGTGAAATATTAAATAATTCTGAATTCAAAGTCATCTCGTCAAATGTGTGTATTGTGTTCGGGGTGTGGCACGTACCTGTATGTGTAAGGCTTGAATCCACGGTATATCGGTACCTATACTTGTGTCGATGACGAAGGTGTGGGACTATACAAAACTGTGCCCAGGTCGCAAAGAGTAAAAGAAAAATACGCGAACGACTTAACGGGCGTCTCCGTTTCAACCGGTTATCGTGCACGGCGAAACGACCACTGCAAACCGAGCGGGCCTCGTGCTCTAAATGCGCCTGGAAGGGATGCCTCGACAAAGTTTTAGCATAAATACCGTGTCTCTGGTCTCCATATTCAGCAGTTCATTTCTGTACACAGTCATCGAGCATTTCGACTAAACAAACACAAAACAATCAATAAAATGGCCGCTAAGGTAAGTCTCGTGACAATATTATGGAAAAGAACATTTTTTTTTTTTATAAAGTTCGAACGTGGAAAATTATTTTTCGATTCTAATTCCGAAATTGTTCTTTACAGTTGATCATCTTCGCCGCATGCGTGGTTTCCGCCATCGCTCAATACCCTGCCCCGGCTTACAAGCCCGCTTACCCAGCCGCTTACCCGGCACCCGCTTACTCGGCACCAAAGGCATACGCCCCAGAGCCCGCCTACGCCCCGGCCCCATACAACTTCGAATACAGCGTCAACGACCCACACACCTACGACGTCAAGAGCCAGTCCGAATACGCTGACGGCAACGGTTACGTCAAGGGATCCTACAGCCTTTTGGAAGCCGACGGTTCCACCCGCGTCGTCGAATACACCGCCGACGACTACAACGGTTTCAACGCCGAAGTCAAGAAAATCGAGGGAGGATACAAGGCCCCGTACAGCGCACCGGCCTACAAGCCCGCCTACCCAGCTGCACCAGCTTACAAGCCAGCCCCATACAAGCCAGCTTATTAATTCGTCCTCAAACGATGACGATATGACGGTGATAATAGTAACGATTGTTATTATCATTCGTAATCATATTACTACACAATATAATGTTATATTATCGTTGTTCCGTCTCCTTCCGACTGTCCCTGATCAGCTGTTACACGGTTCCACTGTCCTGGAGTCCGCTCACCAGTTGTTTGTATTATTATCATTGACTCATTTGTTTTTGTTTAAATGATTGTGTACATTACCGTGTAAATAAATCATTCATCATATTCACCAAAAAAATCGTTTTGTCTTATTGTTATTTTGTTGGTATTTCACATTCTATATTTTAATATAGTTCTGTTGTAACTCGGTGGACAAAATTGCCACTTCGTAAAATTATTTTAGACATTACGTTGGCGTAAATGAACGAGCTAATTCTCAACACCAGTTTGAATGCTCTGACGGTTACCCGCACAATCGAGTTGTACAACAATTGTTGTACACGATTCCTAACTTGGTCATTATTCTGTACCAGCTTACAAGCTTTATCACTAATAAATAATATGTGATATGTATCCATACTATAATTTGAACCGCATTCCAAATACCTTCCTGATCTTACAAAGTGGGTACGATTTTAACAATATCATAATATGCGTGCTCATTCCCGAGTTAATAAACAACTCAACGTCGTTATTGCCAAAACAAAAACATCTTTATTCGTCATTATTTCCATGCGAGATTATACTGTGAAAATTGTACAATGTCAAATAATTGATAACCTCAATAGTCCTCAATAATAATTAATCTGACGTTTTTGTTTATTGTCCATTTAATCATTCAGCGGAACTATAGACGCGTAAAGAATTACCTCGAAGTATTTAATATATAGGTACAGTTATACGTATACCTGCGTCTTTTAAAGTCTTAGATCTACAAGTTATAGAAAAAAAATCCACGTCAATCACGTACTAATAGCTCCAAACAACTTCGATTAGATGTTTTTGTAACTTTTTAGAAATCGTTTAAGAATTCGAATGGTTTTTTCATTTATCAAGCGAGCTAGGAAATCCGGTAAAAATATTGAAAATGTATTAAAAAGCAACCATTATATATATTGGACGAGAGTGCTGGTTGTATAATCAATGAATGGAAATCATTAATCATTATACTTTGGCTAACAGTTGGACTACAGAATTAAAGGCGACAAGAAGAGTAAAAGAAAAAACAGTCTCATAGATATAAATTTTTTTTACATTTATCTTTGCAAGATTGATAAATCGACAACCTCTTCGAGTTAGGTGTCCAACATCGTTTAGTGGTTCTATACGACAAAATGATGGATCATTTGAAAATGCAGGGTGACAAAACAATAACAATTGGATTACTCGAAACACGTCAATCGAAATGGTGAATGTATTATTACGTTTAAATTAAATGTTGAAAACAAAATAGGTACCTATGTTCATTTGAATGAATTCTGTCCTAGAATGTTTCTCATTTAGACACGACACTAGTATTTAATAGGCCTTTGATCTTGTTACTTTGATCAAGGCTAGAGGTGGAGTTTTGATTAACCTACAAAAACTAGAAATTCGAATTGAATTCCATATACATAAAGTAATTATTATGACGACCATTCTAATGATGGCTTATTGAACAATCCAGCATTTTTTATTTATTTATTTTTTGTCTAGACCACTAGATCTAACAATTTTTTTTGCAACATGATTATTACCAAATGTGGAAATTAAAAATATGTTTGTGCGATAGACGTGTTATAGTAATGTATGAAATATGATAGAAAATACTCAAACTTGTATAACGATATAAACAATAATATTTCTGTTCAAAAGTCTTAGCCTATTTGAATAACAATTCATTTATAAACATTACATGTCATAAGGTATATTTTTTAAGATTAAAAATACTGACATGAATATCAAAGTACAACGTGGGACACTAATGCACTATCATTTCGCATCGCTTAACTCGGTGAGAGTTAAAAATATACATTTGAAAACTTTGAAAGGAACGATAAATAAAAACCAACATACAAATAATTTACTCTTTGAGATTTTAATGTTTATTGAATTTATTTAATAATCCATTTGATTTGGGTAAATAACATATAAGTCGAAACTACTACCAACATTAATATAAACATACCTAACCAATAATACTTGTCAGATGAATTTAAAAAAAAAACGCATTTTCAATAATTATTTACCCACTCCAATATATAATATGAGACATTTTTTTTAATAAATTTATCACTTTTCTTATTTATAAATATAATCAGGTAAAACGTCAAGTGCCTTTTTAGAATTATGTACATTACCGTTAACTTAATCGCGTTAAAACGTTAGTTATAGTATTTCACTATAGTTTTTCTCAATTTTCTCAATAGGACTTTTGTAAAGTTTCATCAGTGTCTAATTTCCAATCCATTGAGTGTCCTATTATTTATGAAACTTTTAAAGTACTTTTTCAACTCGAAATAGTGTTTAGAAACACTATATAATTAAAAAAAGAAATATACCCAATTGAAAAAGAAGGCACTACGATAATATTATTAACTTGTTGTTGACACCCTTAGTATTTTTATGTATTTCTATTAAGCTCGAAGTATTAATTTCACGATGCCAATTTGTATTGCAAAAACTACATACAATAATCAATTTGTCTCAAAATTAACTAATAGGTATTTGAATAGGTACTCTAACATTAAAATCCTTTCAAAATATTTTTTTGATCAATAATAATCGTTCAAGTATTACGGATATTATTCACTATTAATATTATGAATTAGTTAGACCAGAGTAGTCCAACCTTTTGTGCGGGACTATTTACACGTTTTTATAAATACTGGGGCGTTACTATGAGAAAAATTAATACTTTTATTTCATAATAAACAAATTATACATAACACATGTTATCAAATTAAAGATGAAAATTATAATGATTAGTTTACTATAATATATTTAGAATTTTAAATTATAATATTTAATGTGACGACTGGCATTGTTTTTGTCACTAGTAAGCACTTTAAACGGATTGAATATATTTACTACATTATGTCTTCAAATGGGGGAGGAGAGGGGAAGACTTCGAGCGCCAAAGGTTGGACCATCCTGAGTTAGATAAATACATGCGTAGTAGGTAGTACATTATTTATACTTAAATTAATTTAAAATAGCAATTGTATTTATCCAACAAATTAATTAATCATACAGTGTCTACTAGCCAAATAATAAAATATTGTAATAGTATTAATAACGTGGTGCCTATTCGTCTATGAAACATTATAGGACGTACCCCCTCGTACGCTACATTGCGTCCGCGCGTAATAGTATTCTAACGACAATCATAATCATAATGCAAGTAATATTTATTTATTGGAAACTCCATTCAAAATGTACGTTTTACACGTATTATTACAACACATTGTTCTATGTTTAATTACAATGGATCCTTGAATACGAATCGTGATTCGCGACGTCCATTAACCGGAATATGGGTTGGCCGAAAACCGAATCATTATAGGTAATATCATCAATACATCCATCACTGGTTGCAGTGCAATAAAGAGGTAGGTATAAGGACCTTCTGACCTGTTACCTATTGGATAGAAAACATTCGTTTCGAATGAATTAATAATAGCCAATATTATTATAGGGATCATAATATTATGTTTGATTGTATCGAGAGAAAACTTCAAAGTAGGACATTGCTTGAATATATTAAATCCGATAGTCGGAAAGGCATTGTCTCGATGAAATTATCTCAAATTGTTTGTAATATAATTGTTCTAACCTACACTGAAATTTTACCGGAAAATATGTTTAGGAGGATGTTGTACCGATTCCTTGTCAGAACGAAAATTAAGGTGTTCGGAATGAAACGGAAATATATTATGTATAACGTTTGTTGTGAAAACAAACAGTTAGTTCAAAATTCATGTCGCCTTTCTATCCGAAAGCTAGACAAATAGGCAATGGGGCGAAGGCCTTTTAAAAATAAATTTACGTAGGTAAAGCCAATTATTGTAGATGACTATTTTTTTTTACTATATAGAAAGTCATCACCTAAATTTTAAGTCAAGGGAAAAATAAATATCGTGAAACTAAAATTGATATCAAAATATGTAAATATTTTGCCACCGGTATCAGATATTAATAATCAAAATTATACAATAATAATAATAATATTTTAAGACAATAATATATTGTTTACTTCGTTATATTCACAATTGGTACCTATTTTATTTTTACATTTTTTTATTTCATACATTAAAAAAAAAAATTATTTAATGTTAAAAAATATGTATTCTTCATTTTTTGTTTTAACTATTTTTTTAATATATAATACAATATAATAGACTAAAGAGAGAGTCATATTTCAGTTAATTATCGATTCAAGTAATTACTACCACATTTTTAATATTTTCACCATACCAATTTTTTTTGTTTTAACTAATTTATGAAAAATACCTACGAGTATCCTTAACATCAAATTCTAACACAGTCAACTGTGCAGTTGACCTATCTAAATCCATACCGTATCTAAATTTAAAAATCGTAAACTCATGTATCGATTTTTCGTTTTGTTTATCAACATCATCAGTGTATAGGTAACTATAAATGATTATGTTTTATGTGAAAACTCAAAATCAAAATAATGGATAATTTTTAAAAACAATAAATTGTCAACTTTTGGAAGTAGGTATAGTGTACTACCTTTATTATAATTCGTGTTTGTGACTATAGATACGAAAATTAATAAGTGTACAATAAGTGAGTATATTAACCATTATCGCTCGGTACCTACCTACCTACCTATATGGTAATATTACGATTAAATCAAACAAAAAAAAAATCAATTGCCGAAAAATCTGTAAAATACATTGCAACATCGAACTCGACTCGTGTCCAAACGAAATCACAACTTTGATTTATGTGATTTGAAAACAAACGTGCTCTTATTTAAAACTAAACTGGCATCGTTAGCGCTATCGAATAATATAATAATACATCATAATAATATAATACAATAATATCGCAGCATGTCAAATGTTTACCGTCAATCAATCGATTTATGCATGGGCACACACACACACACGCACACACACGCACACACACACACACACACACGCACACACACGCACACACACACACACACACGCACACATGTGGCGTTATAAATGGTTATTAAGCGGACAAAAACTTACTATCATTTTTAAATATTACATAATGCGAATGTTCATTAAAAAGACATAAACCGGTATTAGCGGGCGTCTGGCGGACGTCGGGCGCGCGTGGTCCCACTGACATTGACCCAATATCATACAAAACGTAGGTACGGTGTATAATGTTATATTTATATATATCGTACTAAACATATACGAGGTATATTATATTTAGGTATACTATGCGCGCTAATACGGTTACCTATATTGATACAGTTATATTCTTTCATTTTTTTTTTTTATTATTATCATTCACTCTTTCTCTCCACTCTCGATACCCAGTCAAGCACCCATACCAATGTTATAATACCTCGCACATTCCTTTTCATTAATCGACCGGCGCACGTTATTAGTACCCGTACACACGGTTTATGTATATTATTATAATAAACATTACACGGTTCATAAACTGCCGCCGCCGTCGTCCCGTGGGCAAACACGGCCGTTGCCGCATATAGATCTTCGAATCGATTTATCGCAATGATTTACGATCCGATTCTCGCGATGGGCGTCGATATAATAATAATAATAATAATAAGATGTAATGTTATAATAATAATAACAATATTATAACCGAGCACGAGCGCATTATTATCACGCTGCAGTGTTTCACGACGACGAAAAAACATACGCGCGCATAAATTAATAGCCAATGTAATAATATTATGCCATACCCATATAAAATAATAAATGAATAAATTATCGGTGCGGCGGCGAACTGCATTTCGATTGTTAACGACAGCGAACGCGTTTTTCGCAGGGTGCAGCGCATGCACTATATGCAGTTATTGTGTTGCGGCGAACCGACGAGAGTGAACTGCGAACGTGGTCTGACCTATCTACGCGGGCTGTGGAGGTATCTGTTGCTCAACAGTCACGAAAAATAATATAAGTTTTTAATTACGCCGTGCTCGAATAATTTCATTTATATTTTGTCCGAGAACGCCTCTCTAGATAACGACTAGTGCGTCGTCACTGCAGCGGCAAAGTACCCACCCACTGTTGTCAGAAATCTGTAGCTGTATGGCTTATTTTTACCGATGAACTATGTAAAGTCTTGTACGACCTTAGTATTTCTGTACGGACAATAATATTACCATTTTGGATTCAGAGCGGCGTGAGCAACGCACCTAAGACCAGACCATTTTAAATTTAGTGTTGGTCGCCGACGGCGTGTTGTACTTATAGTGACGGTTTCAAATAAAATAGCGAGAGAGAACGTTGGTGTTTTCAAAAATGTTTTTTACTGTTTCAAATACTTATATATACATGCTTCAAATAATGCTGACTCGTCTTACATACTTCAGACGGTGGAGACAAATTATTACGAGTTACCTCTGAGATAAATGACACCTATTACCCATCAGCTATATATAAAAGAAAAGCGTATAGAAAATACTAAGTAGATTTTAATCTATCTAAGGGATAAAAATAGAAAAACCAAAATCGTTTATTTCAGTACCTGGGTACTGTATTTGAGAATTCCATTGATACATGGTTTTTGCGGACATTTATGATTCATTAATTTTACAAAAATATAAACATTATATATAAAATAAAATATATTTCTTACATAAAAAAATATAAATTGTATTTAAAAAGAGAAAAAGTGGGTTAATATTCAACTGCGTTTGGAGGTGACAGTATATACGACTGTAGACTAGTTTACTTCGATTCAAATGACTGTGATAAATTGTGTTGAACTATTGTTTTATTTTTTATTTTTACGACAACATAAAAACTAATAAAACTATATTATAAACTTTAATTGATTTACCGATTTTGTACAATTTAGAAAAAAAGCAGTAAAATGTATGTATTACGTTTTAGTGTGCATTATTATTTGCATATAAATTACATAATATATCTATTTAGTCTTGTATTTCATATAAGAATCAAGTATAATATTATTGTTTATTGTTTTTTTGTTTTTATCGCGTATAAAATAAATCGTGAATAAACCCAAACTATCATCCATATGGTCGGCAAAACTCATACGTGATACATTGATTATCATGTTTAAAAAATATACATTTCGTGTAGGTACTCTTTATAATGTGGTGTGTGAAAGAAACGGATTTGTATGTATTGTAAGTACTAAAGTAGTAATAACAGTATTATACCAATAATATTGATTAGATGTATTTTAAAAGTATTAACAACCAGCTGCATTTTTGCAAACTTTATTTCTTTAATGTTTATCTTAATGTTCCAATATTGTAATATAATTGCATAAACTGCTGACGTCGAGCAATTAGACGATAAACAGATTTTAGTATATTTTTATCAAGATAAACCACTACGGGTATTAGGTGACAATAATAATAATTAATACTACAGTAATGTTGTACATAATGGGTACTAAAACATAAGTAGATACTATACTGGTGGTGCCGATACGTCCCATTAAGCCAGTATGTCACAGCTACGTAGCGTGTGCCATTTCGTGCGAAGGTGTGGTAACTATGGTTATAGACGGTAACCGTATTGGTTAAAAAGTTGAGCTGTAGTCAATTTTTAGTATACTCGGTTCCAGCTTGATTATTACATTATATTCAGAAAGCGACTCTAATCACAATGCTGTGAATCCTGCTCAACCCGCACATGTCCTAAGTTAGGACTCCTAACCTAAACGAGGAAACAAAGACTTTAACTGCACAATGATTGTCTCCGAGCACGGAATGACTAATACTCCAAAGACAAAATATCATCGCTCGTATAATTACTATATTATTGTGATACCGGCACAAAATCAATGATATTTCATTACGCTCATTAGCGAGGAGAGTATACCAGGTATATACCGGAGAGGATGTTATACACAACATTATGTTTAAAAGAAAAACAAGTCTCGGTTATTATATAGTATTACGATGGTCAATATAATAATATAATAGTACGTCGTGTAATAAATTATTTACAAAAAATATATATGATATTTATACGCGAGTTGTACACACACGATATGTGACTCGCGGTATGGTGTAGGTAACGGTCACATTGTGTTGGTTTCACCGGCGACGATGACTGACAGGTGGCCTGGGAGTGCTGACGAGGAGTCGGTTATTAGTAAGCCTTGTACGGGGCTGGCTTGTAGGCGGGTGCGGAGTATGAAGGTGCTGGGTAGGCGGCGGGTGCTGGGTAAGCTGGTGCGGCGTAAGCGGGCTTGTAGGCCGGGGCGGCTTTGTAGGCTGGGGCTGGGGCGGCGTATGGGGCCTTGTATCCTCCTTCGATTTTCTTGACCTCGGCGTTGAAACCGTTGTAGTCATCGGCGGTGTATTCGACGACGCGGGTGGAACCGTCGGCTTCGACCAGGCTGTACGATCCCTTGACGTTGCCGTTTCCGTCGCTGTACTCGGACTGGCTCTTGACGTCGTATGTGGATGGGTCGTTGACGCTGTATTCGAAGTTGTATGGGGCCGGGGCGTAAGCGGGCTCTGGGGCGTATGCCTTTGGTGCCGAGTAAGCGGGTGCTGGGTAAGCGGCTGGGTAAGCGGGCTTGTAGGCCGGGGCGGGGTATTGAGCGATGGCGGAAACCACGCATGCGGCGAAGATGATCAACTGTGAAAATGAAAACATTTTTATTATGATAATATTATGATAAAATGCTGGAAATATAACATAAGAACGAAAATATTTCTCGTCCAAGCGATAATATTAATATATTAAACATAATGTATAATATGACGAGTTACGCGCAGTAGCTCAAGTCACCGAGAGCGCAACTGTACAACTCGTCGAGTGTCAGCTGACGGCCGCGAGCGAGAAACCGACCGGAAAATCATCAACAGCCGCAGGTGGTTAGGTTGATCATAATAATATTATTACAATATTATCGCCACCAAGCCGAGCAACGTGCGCTAGCCGGATTTTCTCGGTTGACCGAAACGGCCGCGCATAGTTTGTCGTTTTCGTTTACCTTAGCTGCCATTTTGGTTTGTGTGTGTTTGAGTTTTTCGTTTCTTCGGGATACAACTCTTGACGACGAGATCGTTGACTGGTGAAGCTGTCCATGGCGATCGCCGTATTTATATGCCACAGGTTCTCGTCCGCACAATCCCTTCCACACACTGCACTCACGAGTATTCGCCGGACAAGACGGCGTACGTACTTTCGATATGGTTATAGGTACGGTATAGCACTGGGGTATACCTATTTTGCTATTATTATCGCATGTACCTACGAACCGGTTGCGATATAATATGCGATTACTGCTGCAGCGCATACCGGGTTATCGGTAGATTATTATATCTGTATACGTTTCTTTTCTGCTCGGTGCAACAATTATTATTGCACGTGTCTGGCAGCGGCGGCGTAAAGGGAAAAATCGTCAAGGACAAGTGTCGTCGACGTCTATTCGGGTTAATTTGGTATTTCGAGGAGGAAAAAAAATGGTTTGCGTTCGCAGTGCCGCCGACTTGCAGGACCCGGGGAACATATTTTATTTCCAAATGGATTAAATTATACGTTGGCCGGTGGTTACGATAGTGCCGGTAATAACTACCAACTACCAACGCTGCTGTCTGTGGTGTTTTGCATTGTACCATTATGCGTACCAATTACCAATAATAATATGTACGTTTCGTATGCAGCAATATAATATTTCGACAAATATTCGTATTTGTGTGTAAATAGGTTTGCTTGTCATGAATCGCTGTATTACATGTATAGAATATCGTATCATGATTTTTAATAAAATAATTCGTTGAATGTCATAATGGTCTTTTATTTTGTAAGTACACATTATAATTATACTACATAGTATGTACAATGTGATTATACTTACAAATTAGTATCTATCTGAATTTGAACTTTTTTTGTCTGTTTTAGATATATATAAATACCATTTTAGGTACCTACGTTCATTTTACCAACTTATTATTTTTTATTAAACATTTGCTTACTTGTAGTAATAATTTAAGTATTGTAGTCACCATTGCAATGTAATTTAATTTGTCTTGTTAAGTATTTTAATGGAACGATGAAATATTAGGTACTTTTACTAATGATAAATATTATAACTAACATTTTGATACTTTTTGAATTTTTATTCAAAAATTGTAATTGCCTATATAAATCACTTTAGTAATACGTTATATGAGAATTGAGTAATTTAATACATTTAATAAGAAAATGGGACATGAAATTAACAACATCATTTAACTTGTATGATCAGTAGTATCGTGCAGATGAACACATCTGTTATTAATTAATGCACACCAATTTCGTTTATGAATTTATTGATTTATTTTTTATTTTTTTTTCTGGTCATCCGATATCATATTACATTAGGTAAATATCTAAACCATGGAATATCAATTTTTTATTCAATATTTTTTCGGTGTACGTTGTATTGATGTATATGCAGTGAATGTAATAAACGAGGGGAATAAATTAATGTTGCCACTAATGCCCATTAATTTTTTTCATTTAGTTGAGAACTTTTTTTTTATTGGACTCCTCGTATACGATGTCAATAAAAGGTATATGAAATGTATTATGGCCGTGTTTAAATTTAAATTGGTCAAGTGGTGACTAAAATGGTAACATAACCTGCACCGCCACGGTCATCGTGATAATATAATAACGTTGAGAATGAAATACCGCGGACGAGTTAAAATATATTTCAGTTGTTTCAGAATACCTAGTCTGATAGATAATTAAAAAATAACAAAAACGACTAGCTTCATTCGCCTTACCTAAAGAAAAATGTTGAAATTTTTATTTTTTCATAAACTTCAAAGAACGAAATATTATTAGATTCTAATAAATGTAAGGCTTTTACTATTAATTATATTTTGATAATTTTTTCTTGGAATTGTGTTGCAAATATAAAGTTAGATATTTTATTGTAATATGCCCCCTTTGCATTTACTAACGTCTAGTTTTCATCTAAGCAATTCACTATAATAATATAAGTATCAGCATTTATTTAAATATTCGTGAAATATTATTTATATTTTAGGGACTCAAAATGAGTCTAACGAACAAATGTTTCTTGAGCTTGAAATTAAAAAAAAAATATTTCTCAAAATTATGAACAATTATTCGTCTCATGAATTTCAACAATAATGTGTAATATACCCGTGTATTTTAAATTTCCATTCAACGTGTATCTTGTATTAAACGTTTTTAAATACATCACATCCTATTTTTAATCATAATCAATTCGTGTATAGGAGATTATACGTCATAGAGTATAATAGGTACCAACTAGGTAGGTTTATTTTACACAATTAATTTTACATACGAAATATGGTTATAATAATAAAATGTATAAATAATGTGAAGCAAGTGTCTTTTAAAAAATATCGATATCGATATGGCCAGGAACTGTGTTGTTCGTAGGTATACACAATACATTAGGTGTACATGTATAATTTTATAATTTTATTTAAGATACAAGTGTTGTTAGCTGATCATTAATAGACCGTTTTTGTTGACTGTACAATTAAAGTATGTAGGCGGCGTTACACCACTTACACCCGATGGGTGGCATAAAGGTGCGCTGAACTTTCCCTATTATAGATGAGTTTAAGTACATTGTGTCATTGAATGTATGTATTATGCATAATGTTTATGTATATTATCCACTACCTACATTTTCCAACGAATACAAGATGGATAATTTGGTTTTATTTTGTGTAAAACGATGGTTTAACGATAATATATCTATTTATATTCTATAATAATATAATAATATATATTATATATTATATAATATAATAATTATACGGTACACACAAAATAATAATTGTAGCGGGTACCAATGCATCAACTAGTTTTACGATGGCTTATTATAAGAAGGTAATATACCTTACCAATCAGCAATTTTATAATATAACGTATAATTTAATAAATTGATCATTTTTCTATTGGCCATTATTTAATGAGCGCCGAAAAAGTGGTTGTGATGTGATGTTAAATACCTATCCAAGCTGTTATTATCGAATTATAAAAATGATTTAGTATATTGTAATTTGTATAAAAAAATTTTTTGGAGCAATCCAACTTAGGGAATATAATATTTTCCCAAGCGTGGACAAAATAAAGACATTTAAACTATTATAATTTTACAATTGAAAGTGAATAATATCTATCAAACAGAACAACCATTTGAATTTATTTAAAAGGAGAAAAATCGATTGCTGTGCCAATATTAGATGGCCAGACAAGAAAAGATAAAATAAGAGGTGTGAGTGTAGACTTACTTGTTTTAGTGCCCCGCGGGCTTAAAAAATATATTATTTATGTAATTGTATCATTATTTTATTGAGTATGACCTTTTATTAAACCTGAATTTTCTATAAATGGTATTTAAAAAAAAGACATGTGACATTACAACTAACGAAAGATATATTAAAACTTCTGTCCCACGCGTCCATATCAATGTAAACTGGATCAACTACAAATTAATAATTTATCATTCCTCGTAGTATGCCGACGGAATATTTGTAGCAAATTCATATTTATTTAGAAATTCATAACTTTAAGTTTATGAAAGTATAGTTGGTCACTTTCGTCATTTCGACTGCAAATGCAAACGTTACACATTACGCTTGTGTACAATTATTGTACAAATAAAGAAAGAAATAGTAACAATACGAAACGACTCACGATTCGGACAATGTTTGTGGATAGTAGATCAGCTTATTTTTATTTAATCGTAGTCCAGCATTTTCATAGTGAACGTAAACCTTGACCTTTGTATTCTCAATTATAATCGTACATGAATATGATTTATTTGAATTTATTACAGGGCGTTCAATTATTATTATTCGTGACATAATAATTGCAAACAGTTAGGATAGCCTCAAATGTATATCGGTAATAACTACAACAGTAAGTATCGCTTTTTCCATTGAAGGTGGCCGGTATGAGTTGGAGGTTAGGTGCAATTGTGTGGGATTACGATATAACTAGTGTTAATTTGAGAAGTGCTCGCGATGAGTTATTATAATAATTTATTATCGTCACTATTATCGTTCTGCGATGATTTTTAATTTAAAATATTATGTCCTAAGGAGACGGTCAAATATGGAAATTATTACGGTCGTTGCGGTGATATTGTCGTTACTCTGATGGCTGCTAATTTTAATATGTTTACACGCCTTGTATATCATAACATGCCAATACATACGATTCAATTTATTATAGGTATATGTTTTCAAGGCAGAGATTTCTGGTGATTGGTAAATAAATTGCATATTATATTATTATACATTATAGTTGCTGTTCGGGGTTATGTCGTGTTTCATATCAGCAGGTCCGAGAGTTCAACGGAAACTAATTAAGTGTGATCAGGGAGGTCATATTATAAACATTACAGTCGGTATGATCACGATTTTTTTTTTAAATTTATTTATGGGTTAACAATGGTGAACTCGCGTCATTGTATGAATAAAATATCGAAAGCTCAGCATTCGTGTAATCCTTTATTCAATTATTTCATATTGTAAAACAAGTGTGAGCAGGTGTTTTTTTATTATTATTTTGTATTAATACCAACAAAATATAAAATATAATATATAACCATTAAAGTTTTGGGTTTGGATTAGCGTTCCACTATAACGAGTTTTTAGTCAGTAAAAAAGGTATATTTTCTTCACTCTGTAAAAATGGAAGGACATTTTGGAATCGTATATACAGCTTAAAGAAAATTAGACTGTAAGAAAAATTTTTATTTTTTATTTTTTTTTATACGACTTTGAAAACATGAAAATAAACGATTAAAAATCATTATATTCACAATTAAATTAGTTCCTAAACATTTAAAAGAACAATTCAACTCAAATACTTTAATGAAGGTTTTCTTACAGGAAATAAATTAAATAATGTAATGTTCTTATCTTCACAATAGTAAGTACGGCCCTTTCATTTTTTTTTTATGAGAGCTTTCAAGTAGGTAGTGTTTACGTGAGATTTTTACTGAACCTTCCATATTCACATGTAGGCCTAGATTCGTTTTGTGGTTTTATCTCAAAACAGTTTGTAGTTTCATGTGCATTAATAAACTTGGTAGTTTATTGCAAGTTTTTTTTATTTTTCTTGAA